GTATTGGTGTGTGCCTGTGTGTGTGTGTGTGTGTGTGTGTCGGGTGTGGGGCTGCCTTGCTTGCAAACCCATGTTTGAATGGGGTGTACCTGGTCATTTGGTAAAATTGAGGAGTTGGGAGCCGACTAACAAGGGAATAAAGGTTATCTCTATATAAAATTTTTTAACGTTTCTCGGTGAAAGAAACTCGTTAGGTGTCCTGTGCATACCCAGTTAGCCTTTCATGCCCTTGTAGGACATTACCCACTCTCCTCTCACTTTCTTGTTTTGTATCTGTTAATTGTGCTCTCAGAGCCAGTGGCACCAGCCTACAACAACCTAAGTTGTGAGGTGGAGGGTGGACCCGTGTAAGGGTTCTTATGATGCTGCTGGACTGTGGCCTTTTAGGTTAGGCAACGACCTTCCCCTGGCAGTGGCTTCTACTGCTGACCTCGTACGCTGTAAGCTCATGGATGTGACTGGTGGCTTGGGCGCTGATGAACTTAGTCTGCTCTATGGCATGGCATTGGTCAGGTAAGACCTGCATGGGGTGAGGGGTTGGCTTTGGGATTAGTGGGGGATAGCATGTGATAAAGCTTGGCCTTGGGTACTACCTCCAGTCATAAAAGCAAAAAACTCTGTCCCTATTAACATTCATTTCTGGTTTGTTTGTTTGTTTTTCCTTTTCCTGAGAACCTTATATCTTCCATATTTCTTTCACTCTCTTTGGAGTGTGGGGTGGAGAAGGTTCAGAATAGGCAATTTCTTTATGTCTCTCCCAGCTTTGACAGTCTGCCTTTTTCCTTCCCGTTTACCTTTTTTGATCCAGAGGAACTTTTCTGAATGGATCAGTGTCCTTGGCCTTGATTTAATGTTAACTTTTTAACCCTACTTCTGTCCACACCTAGCATCATCCTTTTCTTCCTCGTGAACACTGAAAAGTTGCTGAGTTTGGAAAATGGAAACATGAACTGGAGTTTCTGACTTACAAAGTGACTAAAGAAAGTTTCCAGCTGCTTCCTTCACATCAGCGAATAAGGCTAACACAGGATTTTCTAATGTGTCAAAGCCTTTGCCCTTCGCATCATGTTCTCTTTGTCTGCCTTGATGTCTACTCTTGGTCTTCAGCTGTGCTGCCTATATCATTTGATGCAGTCCTTTCTTTGTGTTAGCACTTATTTTATGTCTTTGATATATTATGTCATGAGTATTTATCCTAGACTTCTTCAGGGCCAGACCAGTGTCTTAATCATCTGTGTAAGTCCAGTACAGGGCAGACTCTCTAGTAAATGTTGGTTTGGATGGAAATGTTCCTGCTCTAACTGAAACCAAGCATCTGAAAGAACAGGATGGGCTGGGGAAAATGCAAGATGTCAGTAACCCAGTAAGGTATTAGGAAGCCCCACCAATTGAGTAAAACAGTTACTTGGGCTATGCCACCTTTATTTCTTCCCCAAACTCAGGTTTGTGAATCTTATCTCAGAGAGGAAGACAAAGTTTGTCAAGCTTCCCCTCAAGTTCCTGGCTCAGGAGGTGCGTATGATAAAGTGGCCTCGCTCAATTTTCTCTCCCCGGGAGGGCTCACTAAATGGGAACGTGGGGTAAAGTGGGCATACAGTCAGAGTAGCTTCTCTCATCTCATCATTGCAAGCCAAACTCTGCAAGAACCCAAGAACTTCAGCTTTTAGCTCAAAGGAAACAGAATTGCTCCATTGTTATGTCAGAATTTACTCAGTGGAGTTTGGAGTTTGAGTTCATGACTAGTATCTCAGCTTTCTTGGAGTGGCCCAGTGAAGGTAAAGACCTTGAAAACACCACTGGGTGGGAACAGGAAGTAAGTGACAGTCACAGCACTTGCCCTTAGACAGCTCACAGTCTGAGGGAGGACATAGCTAAGCTGCACATTGCCAGACAGTCCTGCCCTGACTGAGTATGTGAAGTGTGTAGAGGCCCAGAGGGCAAGCATGTTCTCAGTCTTCATATGTGATATTTAGGGACAGAACAAACAGGGCAGAGAGAAGCTAGAAGTGATTATTAGTTCTCATTCACAGAGTTCTTTTTGCTGGAAGAGGGTGAGTGGTTGTTGGGAAAGCAGGCGCCTTTCCTGATTCAAGGCCACCTGGAAAAAGCTGTAAGAAGAATTGGAACTGGATTCTAATCTTGGCTTTGTCTCACCAAGACTCTAAATTTCCCTTAAAACGTTAGTTTTTCTATATGTAAAACAGGAGGAGATTAAGCGAATTTATTTCTGTAGTCTCTTCCAGATTTACTATTTCTAATTTCTGTGCCTATACTTCCCCTGAAATCAGGTGAACATTCCGGATTGGATTGTTGAACTTCGTCATGAGTTGACCCACAAGAAAATGCCCCATATAAATGACTGCCGCAGAGGTGAGTCCTCAGGGTAGGGGTACACATCTAACATAGTTAAGCCCAAGAGTCTAGGCTGAGTAGCAGTGGGACTAAAAGGATAGGGAGGAAGGTCTCCAACTGAGGCCAGAACTAGGGGGAGGCAAGTGAAATGCTTGTCTTGGGTGTGAAATTTAAGTAATCAAGATAAATGTATGTTTTTAAAAATCAAATTTAATGCAGGAAATAGAAAAAGTCTAAATAAATAAAGATTAATGATACTGATTTCTCCTTTTCCCTCAGGCTCCCATATGGCTTGGTTATGCTCTATTCTGTTCTACTGTTGAGAGCTTGATTATTGAGATTTTGGGGACCCACTCAAATTTTACACCTGATACACTTTACCCCATTAGCTTGACTTACCTCACTCTAGTGACGGCCTTGCCTCGGGTAAACCAACAAAAATTACTATACAGAGCATTCAGGGTATAACAAATTATTGTGAACACATGACATTCTTAATGTAATCATTTTCTAAAGATAAAAAAATTGTGAATTAGCTAACTTTACCCTATAACAAAACTAACGGATGCTCAATGATAAATCACCCTAAGTACTCTGCCCTAATACCTAGTAGACAAACAGGTATTATGAGTAGACTTCTTTGAACTAAAAGCCTTTAGGAAGATGTTATTCTGTTTCACTAAACATGGATATGCATGTCGGACCCTTGCTACCAGCTCTTCCAGGTATTTAAAAGAAGTTGGAAACTTGGCTTTCTTTAAAATAGCTTGAATTTTAAATGCTGGTATCTATGTATTTCAAATGTGTTTTTTTTTCAAATACCAGGAAGCTAAACCCGAGGGCCAGAAAAAGGACATCTAGGAGCCCTAAGCACATCTAGGAGCCCTGGTGGTATAGTTGTTACACATTGGATTACTAATTACAAGGTCAGCAGTTTGAAACTACCAGTCACTCTTCAGGAGACAGATGAGGCTTTCTACACTCATAGTGAGTTACAGTTTTGGAAACAGCAGGGCAGCTCTGCTTTGTCCCATAGGGTCACTATGAATTGAAATCTACTCGATGACAGTGAGTCTGAGTCTAGAGGGACCTGACTGGCCAACAGCCTTCTAGTTTACAATTCCTGCATTTGAGAGATTCTTTTCTCCAGTTCATGTTGTAATTCTGGAGTTAGGATTTCAAATATCGTACTTCCAGAAGAGAAGGTTTAAAGGCAGGTATTTTGAGAACCCCTTGCCTAGTTTTATCTCGTCAGGACATGGAACAGATGAAACAAGGGTAGGCTGATTAAAGTAATGAAATCTTTACTGAGCATTTGCTTTGCATGTATTTACAGGTTTAGATTTCACAATAACTCTTGAAGAAGGAGGCTCAGATTAGGTAACTTTCCTCATGTTGCACAGTTAGTAAATGTTGGAGACAAATTGTTAACCCAGGTAGTCTGACTGGGTTAGACCTGCTCTCCCTCCCTCCACTTTTCTGTGACTTTTTAATTGCACAAAGTGAGAAAGTAGAAGAATTGATGGTTGGATCTCCTGGGTTGGGGGACAAAAAGTATAACAAGAAAAGTGAATGTTGCTTCATTCAGGTAGCAAACAAAGCCTGCGCCTCAGTACTAGATGCTAGGGATTCAGATGTACAAGCCATTATCTCTGGTCTTAAAAACTTCACAGAACTATAAGAAGGGGAAATAGGAATTGTCAGGTGTGTTGGGATATGCTCTCAGTGCCTTTGTAGTATTAAAAGTCAGGAGGCCTCACAGAAAAACTAGTACTTGTGTTGAGTGTGACAAAGTAGTAATTGATTAGTTCCTTGAGTGGGACAAGAAGGGGATTCCCAGGCAGAGGAACTAGGAGGTGCGAAAGTGTGAGTGGAAGCTGGGGAAGGAATGGCAAATTTTCAGGACTTGCACCTCAGGGATGTAGGAGGCAATAGCTAAGGATAAAGGTGGAGCTTTAGTCTGAGGTCAGATGGGCATAGGTACATGGGTCGCATGTTCATGAAGTAGTGGTTAAGTCCTAAATAAGTTAGTATTTCCCTAAAGTCAGTGAAGGGTAATTGGAAAGTGAGGATTTCCTAGAATCCATTGAGAAAACAGTTTCTATCTCATCTGCTTTGCAGAACATGTCCCCAAATCAGAACTGTCTGAATTAACCACAGTTTTGGGGGGTTTTAAACAATTTTTCCTACCCAAATCACAGATTGACTTTGTATTTCATTTCAAAATGCAGTTGTTAGGATGTATAGTGTACTGAGAAGTTTGGAAGAGCTCTACCAGGGAGTACACAGTGATCTCAGTCGAAAGTTCTAGGCTAGAGTTGCCAACATATTCAGAGCACAGATGAAGTGCATCTGATATGTGTATGTATAGAGTGGGAAAGCAAAACATTGAGTACAGGGCCTAGCAAATGCCCCCTGGGGGTTTAAAGGGCAGTCAGAAGAGTAAGAAGACGGGCAGGTAGGTATCTTTGGGTTTAAGGGAGAGGAGTTTGAGAGATGTGAGTCATCAGCAGTGTCATAATCATACAGAGATGGCAAAAACAATGGACTGAGGGCACTCATTAATTTAGGTAATTGAAAAGTTATTAACAAGGCTTTGTTGTAAATCTTATTGGTGTAACTAACTGAGGTCCCTGGGTGGCACAAAGGAGTGTATCAAGATTGGCAACTCAAAACCCCCAGCTGTTCTATGGGAGGAAGCTAAGGTCTGCTCCTGTAAAGATTTGCAGTCTTAAAAACTCTATATAGGCTCATTGTGAGTCAATTGACTTGGGTAACAAAAGGAATGGTAACAGAAGGTTACCTAAAGGTTTGAACCCACCAGCCACACCATGGGAGAAAGATTAGGGAATCTGCTTCTGTAAACACTTACAGCCTCAAAAACTCTATGGAATAGTTCTACTCTCCTATAAGGTTGCTATGAGTTAAAATCAACTCAGTGCCAGTGGGTTTGGTTTATTCTTGGGGGGAGTGACATCATGGTTTGTACTAGGCTAACCTAAAGGATGGCAGGCACCCAGCAGCACCGAGGAAGAAAGAATTGGTGATACACTTCCATGAAGATAAAAGCCAAGAACATTTTATGGAACAATTGTAGTTTGTTGAACATGAGTTTGCCCTGAGTCAGAATTGACTGGACGGCAATGAGCTTGTAATTGGTAGCTCTAATTAGGTTATCTATCTATTTACTATGCTGGGTTTTTTTTTCCTCCATAACACTTTTCACTACCTCATATTTGTTCTTTGTCTTTTTCTTCTACTAGAATATAAGCTTCATGAAGACAGGGACTTTGCTTTGGTTGATGTTGTATTTCCAATAATGCCTGAAACTTATATCCTTGATAAAGGTTTGTAGACTAAATAAAGAGCTGCTGGATTAGATACTCCATGGCTTCTTGTTTAAGAAAATCACACATGTGTAAGGTTTTCAAGCTGCTTCAGACCCAAGGATCCATACTAATCAAGGATCATTAATTTAGCCTAGCCGCTTCATGGTGGGAAAACAGAAATAGAAAAGGGCTGTGTAACTATCTAGTGGGTCTGGTTCCCAGTTCTCCCACTGCCAACTCCTTACCACTTTTGCATCCCATCTCCAACTAGTTCTTTATAGGAAGGTGTTGGTGAGCAAGAGGAGAAAGCAAAGAACAGACTTTTCTCCAATATTTGAGATTTCAGCCTGCTTATTGCTGAGCCTTTTCCTTAGGGCTGTCCCATAATGCTCACAATATGAGGATGGTGGCCAAGAGAGCTGTGGGACTGCTAGAAGCTGCTTGCCTTTGGCTGGTACTATGGCACTACCTTCCTTCCATCCTTCAGGCTGCTACTTTGTCCTGAATTGGCTTCAGAAGACCTACTGGTGCCGCCAATTGGAGAACAGCCTGAGAGAGTCATGGGAGTTGGAGGAGGACAAGGAAGAGACAGATGAAGAGGACGAAGAGGAAAATAAGGACATTGCTGATGATGACATCACAGAACAGAGATCAGAGCCTAAGGAAAATGTAAAAAGTGCAGAGTTGGATGCCAGGGTTGATGGAGACAGTCAAGAAGGCAGTTCACATTGTGAAAAGACTCTGAGGCATAAAGAGCTATATGGTAGGTGTCCTTAAATGGCAGAGAAGGGCCTATGAACCTGGAATGCTCAGGCTTAGGGTTAGCATTGGTTATTTCTTTGGCTCAGCATTTCCTCTGGAGTTGCGGTGAGTCTTGGCTTAAAAAAAATTATTGTCATAAACCATCTTCCTTGAGCCCTGTGAAGTAGGAGGGGGCAGGAATTCTAGTTCCCAATTTATAATTCAAGAAATGTGTGGTATCAGGATTTCAGAATCCCATCAGAGTCAGAGTTGAACTGGCTGCCCTATCCATTTACCATTCTGTTTTAGAAAAAGCCCGGGAACTGCTGGTGTCTTACGAAGAGGAACAGTTTAAGGTAAGTGGGTACCCTTCCTCTTGTGTGCTCTCCATTTCTTCCCTCATGGGAGTTCTCTTGGAGAGAAGTCCTGAGAAGGAATTAGAATGAGAAGTGACAAAACTTGAAGGAACTGCTGAGATAGAGGATGGGGAAAACTAGGAAAGAGACAAGAGAAGCAAAGTCCAATTGGCTGATCCTTTACACCCATGGAAAAGAACAGATGAATTTTGAGTAGTTTGCCTCACTGAGTAATGGAGTATTTCCCCAGGCATAAGTGGTTACACAGTCTTGCCATGCTGCAGATGATCAGTGGAGGCCATAAAGTTTTCCTAGATCTAGTTAGCTTGAGCGGAGCTACAATATACATTAAGAGAGAGGTGGCAAAAAATGATGGAGAGGCAGGGGAAAGAACATTTTTCAAAAAGTAGTTTAGAAACTGTCTATTTTAACCTTTTCTTTTACAGATGGGTGAGTTGATTAGCCAAAGGTCACATAGGCAACAAGTGATAGAACCAAGATGAGAACCTGAGTCTCGATATCTTTTCTACCATGCCCCACTACTTCACTCCTCCCTGTACCCTTTAGCCTATCTTCAACCAAATGTTCTTATTGGATCTCTCAGTATTGAGGTAACTTGTAATTGAGAGTCACAAGGAGTCTGGGAGTAAGGGAAAGCCTGGCATTAGAAGTTCAGGTTATTTGAATAGGTAGTTCTGAGACAACTCTTTCATGTCCTTCCCTATCCCCTGAAGAGATGTGCCATGCCAGAAGGTCCTATAGCAGCGGTTCTCAACTTGTGCGTCATGACCCCTTTGGAGGTCAAATGACCCTTTCACAGGAGTTGCCTAATACATCGTGCATATCAGATATTTATATTACAATTCATAACAGGAAAATTACAGTTAATGAAGTAGCAATGAAGATAATTTTATGCTCGGGGATCAACCACAACATGAGGCACTGTAGTAAAGGGTCACGGCATTACGAAGGTTGAGAACCACTGTCCTATGGGAAAAGATCCTAGAGGAGTGGGGTTGAGCTGCCTGGTTAAACCAGCCTTCTGATGGGATCTTTCTTGGCTGGCAGGTGCTGGAGGAATTTAGGTATTTACCTCAGGCCATTAAAGTGTGGAATAACCTGTCCCCACGTGTAGAATGTATCCTGTCAGAGCTCAAGAGCATAACACGGGAAAACAGGTGTGTACCTAATTAATCAGAGGCTGCCTACTCTTCAAGAGGGTAGCAGCCTCATTGAAATCAATTTCTTACCCCAGTTTGCCATACTTTGTTATAGGAACTCCCTGTGGTCATCCTGATTTCTCACAGTGTGACCTTGTGTTCTGTATTACCCTTTATTGGCTCTGCCAGCTATCAGATGAGAATGGTCTATTCTGAGTCACTTAATTGGCCAGAGGCAGAAATGTCCACTATTTGTCTGTATCCTGGCCAGTCTCATTTCTGTCTGTCAGGTGGTACATGGAGCTCCTGGCAGGTAGAAAAAGTCCGTAATCCTTTCTAGCTCTTTGCCTAACCATTGTCCATGTTTGAAGGGAAAGATAAATGGTAGGCATTATTGGCATTTTCCTTTGGACTGTTACTGGAGTGTGTAAGCCTCTGGATTATTAGTGTTGTGAATACAGAGGAAGCACCAACCCCTAGCCTGGCTACTCAAATGATTTAAGTTCTTCATTATAGGCATGAGCCTTCTACTTTCTAAAAGAAATAGCACTCAGTTAAATATAGAGCAGACAAATAGTACAGCCATCTATTTTTCTCTCCTCTGTAGTTTTTGGGACTTTCTGCCTAAATTCAGCTGAAAAGGACTTTTGGGAACCTTCTACTAAGAATCTGGAGGCAATGTTAGACCTTTATAGCTTGGGAGGGGCTGGAAAGAATCTGGGGTGAAGCAGAGTGTAGATAGATGGATTAGGTGGCAGAGTAGGCCTGGGTAGGAAACTAATGGAATTGGAATTGTCCCGTGGAGTCTTTGTTCCTCATTGCCATTGAGTCAACTTCGATTTATAGCATAGAGTAGACCTGCCCCTATGGGTTTCTACAGCTATAAATATTTATAGAATCAGAAAGGCTCATCTTTCTCCTACAGAGCAGCGTATGAGTTTGAACTGCTAACCCTTTGGTTAGCAGCTCAACTTGTAACCCCCTACACCACCAGGGTACTATTATTTCCAAAGGTGTTTTATCAGTGTCTGCCCAACTTAGGTTTCTTGACTTCCCTATGTGCAAGGGAATGAAGGACAGCCTCCTTAGTAGCTGAAAAATCTTATATCCCTATACAGTAGTGTTTGCCTGGTAGTATTGAGCAGGGAGCCGATTGGCTGGTTTAAATACTTTCTTGGCTACTGGCCAGAGAAGATATGCAAGGATGGGAGGACAGCTATTTCCCATTCAGGCCTAGATAGTTTAGATAGAGAATGGGATCTGAGTATGCTGACCCTTCTCCAGACATTGGGATGCTTTGGAGACTATTCTTTCCTCTTTATAACTAGTTGGCTGGGGAACCCTCTTTGGGGAATCATTAGCTCTGGAAGAGACAGTTTGCTGTTACTTGTTTTGACTTAAGCTAAATGAAGATGAGACATACCCTTATAACCAACTCCTTTAACCTCTTTAACAAAGGCATATAGATTATATTTGGTTCAACAATTGAACTTTCAAAACTGGTAGCTGAAAGAGGGAAGCCAAGAATAAGGGGGATGGTTGGGCAATAGAGAATTGTTAAGAGAAACAGTAAGACTGATCAGGAACTAAATGCACAAGCCCTTGACCCTCTTACAAAACAAAGGCACTTTCTATCATTTGGTCTGGGTCTGTGTTTATGTCTTGACTGCTGCCCTCATTATGGCCTTTAGATTAGGATTTGCTTAGTGTGCATTCATTTAAACCCCACTGATTCCAGTTCAGCCCTTCCCTAGGACAACAAGGTCTTTCATATCTCTCTCTCCCAATAAACTGCTTTGGTCACCTCACAGACATTTCCTTGGGTGTGGGTGAGGGAGTATGCAAGGGTCTCTTGTCCATTTCAGTTTGCTAAACTGGGTGTTCTCTTGCTCCAGTGAGGCTGTGCTGGATGCCTTTCTGGATGATGGCTTCCTCGTCCCTACATTTGAGCAGTTGGCAGCCTTGCAGATAGACTATGAAGGTAGGGTGCATGGGGGCTCAGTGCAGCCATAAAGTACTGTATTTCCTGGGTGGGACCATCTCGGGTGGGCTGGGAGACAAGGGCTAGTCCCTGCCATTCTGGCCTTAGGAATCCCTTCAGCCTTCCTGGCTGAACAGCACAAGTCGCTGATAATGCATTTGTGGTTGTGTGGCTATCCTTTGGTAACCTGGAATGGGGTGGAGTGTGGATGGGTGGGTGGGTGGGTAGGAGAAGTCTTAATACCATTATTATGCTGTATTAGTTGTGATTTAGCCACTAGCAAGAGCGATAGTATAGCAGACCAAGAAGGGACTTGTGAGGTCATCTAGTCCCATCCTCATGTTGCAGATGGGCAGACTGAGGTCCAGAGAGGGGATGGTACTGATCCAAAGTCACACAGTGAGTTATTGACAAAGTTGAAGCTAGCACCAGGTCAGTTGTTGGGTGCCAGATACTAACTAGTTTCTCTCTCCCCTGCTGTTCTGCTTTCCTCCTCCTTATTCTGCGGTCGCAACTCTATTGGTTATGCTGGGGCTTGTTCTCTCTTGCGCTCCTTCCCCTGGCCCCCAACTCCCCTTTCCCTGTCAATGGTGCCCCTTACAAACCAGAAAACATGGACTTGGATGACATCCTGGTGCCAAAGCCGTTCTCTCAATTCTGGCAGCCCCTGCTTAGGGGCCTGCACTCCCAGACCTTCACACAGGCCTTGCTGGAAAGGATGCTGTCCGAGCTGCCAGCCTTGGGAGACAGCGGAATCCGCCCAACCTACATCCTCAACTGGATCATAGAACTGATTGTGGCCAACACCAAGACTGGTGAGGAAAGCTGGCCCTAGCCCAGGTCCTAGGGCAGCCCAGGGAAGTACATCTGCCTTTGCCCTCAGATCTTGGCTCTAGAGAAGCACCAGGCAGATACTTCCTTTATTAGAAGTTTAGGTTTCTTTGAGAGTTCCTATGACAGTAATAGGACAATCTCCTTCCACCTTTTTCTTCTCTGAGCCAACTACACTTAGCTGGCACAAAGGGCCCTGAATGCTCTGAGCAAATGGGAGGTGTAGGGTTGGGAATCTGGAAGGTAGAGGGGAACAGCCAAATTTTTTGTGGTAAAAGGTTGGTGGTGGCGGGTAGGGGGCGGGGGGGGCGCTTACTGGTTTCTTTTCCTCAAGCCCTCTCTCCTCTTATAGGACGGAATGCTCGCCGCTTTTCTGCAAGCCATTGGGAAGTGAGAAAGACCTGGAGATTGTTCAGCTGCTCTGCTTCCCTTGACTGGCCCCGGGTGGTTGAATCCTGCTTAGGCTCACCTTGCTGGGCCAGCCCCCAACTCCTTCAGCTGTAAGTCTCATAAATCCCATCTGTTAAGAGGATACAGGGTCTTCAGCAAGTCTCAGGGTCACAGAGCCCAAGAATGGTTGAGCTGGAAAGGTTCATTCAAGAAAATGTAGCTCACTAAGTGAGGCATCAGTTAAGCCCACATGGAAGAAGCATACTAGGCTGTGTGGTCCAGGGATTGTAAATAATATAATCCAAATCTAAAGGAGGGAATGGTATCAGAGCTTAAATTGTGAACGTCTGGTTTGCAGAAGGCTACTGATGACAGTGGAAGCCCAAAACCCATTTGCAGAGTCCACACATGGATGAAACCTTTGGTGAATCTCCTCTGATCATAATTGAGGGATGTGAATAGCCCATTTTTCAGACGGAGAGCATTGCAAAGTCGGTTATGGCAGACATGAGTCAAAATGTAATATCTTACCATTTGATCTCCTCTTTAACATATTTTAAAACTGTTTCAATTTTTTTTTAAAAGTGAAGAGGAAATACACGTGAATTAAGCCCCTGGGGAATCCCTTGTGACCATGGACCAGGGATGTGAATAGCCATGCTCTCGTGCAGAATGGATTGGAAAGTGGATTGTTGCTTATGCAGTGAGGTTAAAATTTAGCACTTTATCATTTGATCTCCCCTCTGATCCATTTAAATTTGTTCTTGTTTTTAATATTTTCTGCTTTCTTTCTATTGAGGGTTTTTATCTGTTTTACTTTGTTATTCTTGTTAGTTTTTCTATATATGTAATCCAGGATAGGTAAGTCTAAAAATCGTAAATGGATTAATGGTTCCTTGGGGATATGGGAATTTGGGAGAAAATGCGGAGCTAATAATAATGAGTACAAGAATGAAGAAAATGTTCTAAGACTGATGATAGTAATAAATATACAACTCGTCTTGATGTTGAACTATTGAATTATATGCTGTGTGAATTATATGCCAGTAAAATGGTTTAAAAATAATAACATCAAACCCCAGCTTCTTCCTATCAACAGATGGGAAAGCTAAGCCCCAGAGAGTTGACCAGGGCATCCTGCTTAAGATCACAAAGCTAAGGTCTTGCTGAATTATTGAGTCTGGCATGAGAATGATGAGACTGGCCCCACCCCCTACCCCTCCCCACACACGAGTGCTTAGAACAGTGACTTGCACAGAATAAGTGCTCAATAATCTTAGCTGCTGTTCATTATTAAGCCCAGGTCTTCTTACTCTTAAGTCCTGTGCTGTCTCCTTCATTATCTTTCCAAGTCTTCAGTGGCTTCCTGTTGCTTTTCTGATGAAATCTGGATTTTTTTTACCAATAAAGATTCAAAGATCTTTATGATCCTTCCCCAACTTACCATGGGTAACCATACCTCCTGTGATTCCCTTTAGCCACTCCACCCTGAGTTTATCATCAAACTGAATATTGTGCTGTTTCCTGTACATACTTGTGTTGTTGTTCTTTTCTTTTTCCTTTTTGGACCCCGAGCCTCTTCCCTCATACTTATAGAAGCCTTTAGCTCCTGCTTCTCTCCCTGCTTTCTGAAACAGTTTATGTTTCACTTGGATGATCTATCCTACACTATACCAGTGACCTTCATTCTCCATTGAACTTGACAACTTTTTTCCCATCACCCAAAGCTGTTCCACTTCTGAAAGGTAACATCCCACTTAGGAACTACTGTCTCTTGTCTTTCAAGTTCTTACCCTTACATTCTATAACATCTGCTCTTTGCTTGTATTTAGACTTTATCCCTCCAATTACTGCCTCTCTTGACCTTGCTTTCCTTCAGTCCTATGTCTTGTTGATCACATCTACATCTCATCATCAGTATCCTCAACTCTGTCTATCCTTCTGTATCCGTTGGAATTGATCTTCCCCGTTCTGCTTCCTTTAATCTGCATTGTTGAACTCTGCTGGAGAAAACCACATAATTATTTGCACTTCTCCTGTAGAGGTATATTTTAACATCTCAGAAAAGTGCTCAGTTTTCCTTTTCTGAATTTTTACTTGTTTTCCAATCACTTTCCCCATTTCCTGACTATTCTGAATCCGTATCACTCCCTTCCCCCTTTCCACCTTCACCCTAGCTACCTAAAGCACATGGAGGCATTCAGCAAGGCTCTCTCAACCTGAGGTCCAGTCCTTATGAACTGATTGACAGCTGTACTTAATCTTTTTTCCAGTCTCAGGATGAAGTGGCCTTGTCTCAATGCCTGCTTTTCCATTTGTGTTCTTTAGCCCTCTCTACCCAGCATTATTGGGCCTCACCCCAGTCTCTCTCTCGCTGTATTGGCTCTTGTTCTTCAACCTGAATGTGCCTGAGTTTTTCTCATCTTAAAACAAATAAAACCAGAAGTACAATCTTCTTTGATTCTGTATCCCTCTATAGCTATCAGCTTGTATCTTTTTCCTTCCATCTAAACACCTTCAAAGTATAGTCTACATTCAACCATCTCAATTTCCTCACTACCCTCTCAGTCCTCAACCTGCTGCAATTTAGAGTTCACCTCTTTACTCCAACTCTTACAGTGATCTTCCCCCTTTGACCCTTTTCTAGTTAGCTAGTGGTGACAACATCTACTCTGTCATGTTGACTCTTTCAAATATTTTCCAAAATAAAGATTTTGTGTTTCTACTCCCCTAGTGTCACCTTCTTATCAAACTAAGTGTTTTTAGGGAGAAAAGCTTTCCATTAACTTTTATGTCCCAGCATACCACACAGGTACAGGCATTAAAATAGTCCTCAGTAAATGTTATTGAACTGGACTAGATTCTGCTGTCTCTGTTAGCAGAGCTGTGCTTGGTGGGAGCTGACTCAGTTCCTGTTGAATGAATGAAGTGGGAGTCTGGGTGCCAGGGCCCTCTTGACCACCTTCTGTAATCAGCTCTGATGGCATTTGGGTTACAGTAAAGTTTATATAAGAGATTAAGGGTGAAGGGAGATGTCAGATATGACAACATAGTAATTATAAATTATCAAGGATCGTGAGGGAGGGGGGAGCGGGAAGGGAGGGAGAAAATGAGCTGATGCCAGGGGCTTAAGTGGAGAGCAAATGTTTTGAGAATGATGAGGCAATGAATGTACAAATGTGCCTTACACAATTGATGTATGTATAGATTGTGATAAGAGTTGTATGAGCCCCTAATAAAAAAATGATTTTTTTAAAAAAGGAGATTAAAAGGTGAACTGGTAGACAGATGGCTAGAGTAAAGCCTTCAGGATATAGTATTAAAGTAAATAGCCCAAACTCCAGTTTTGTGTGCTTTAGACTAGAAGTAATATGGATAGGTGGAAAACAGAACTAAAAAGGCCTTGAATAGTTTTTGTTTGTGTGTTTTAAGCATCATAGAGGAGGCTTTTGAGCAATTTAAGGAAAACGAAAGTCTTGAACCAGGAAAGACGAGGGACAAAAGTGGGCCTGTTATTAAAGAAGTACAGAAGTACAGAAAAGTCCTTAGGACAATCCAGTCCCTCTGCTCTCATTTAACACACAAACAAAGATACCTAGAGAAGAGACTTCACAAGGGTTACCCAATGAATAAAATAGCATACAAAAAGAAATTACTGCATTAAATGTCAGGCATGGTACTGTGTACAAGGGTTAAGGCAAAAAATATTGCTATTAGGGTCCCAGTTCATAACAGGCGCAGGTTTATTCCAAATAATGTCTGATCAGTGGATGGATGCAGACATGTTCTCAGTAATATGCTTATCTTAGTCTTGGTGTGCCTTCACAAAAACGTCCAATCAAAATAATGGATTCCAAGGGGATCTGCTGGGCCAGTTAAATTTGAGGCAGAGGAGTGAGCTTAGAAGATTATGGTGGGATTTGGTGGATTACAAAGGAGTATTCTTTATAGCTTTTCTCAAAGGACATAGGATAATCACAGGGGGTAATTATAAAGACGTTTTAAGAAAATGGAAAATTGTAGTAGAGTATCGCCAGGAATGTTGTGCCAAGGAATTTCTTGCCTTCATGACAATGTAACTCATTCGTCAAGGGCAGCAAAGTCTGTCCTATGAGATTTTGTTGTGAAAACTTAAAATCATCCATCCTTTAGCCCCTTCAGACTTACTTTTGTGCCAAAACTCTAAAGAACATGGAAAAGGAACACAACTTGAGTCCCTCAAGTATGCACAAACTGCTGTTTTGACATGATCTAAGTCAAAGATTGTGGAATTCTTCAGGGAAGTGTTAGACAGAAGTGTATAGACCTAGATGGAAGATGTATTGAGAAACAATAGCTCCATGTTTTAAAAGGGTTACTGTGATTTTGTAGCAATACTTTTTTATTTACCCCTTTTTTGTAAAAGTAATTTAATTGACCCAGCAGTGTTTGATAATGGAGTATAATACTCTAGTAGGACAGTGAGTTTGAGTGAAGTGACTTAGAATCTTGTTCTTTGATGGTGGGACAGAGATTTGGGCCCATGTCTTGTGAGTTCAAATCCACTTTCTATGGACTTGAACTTGTGACTTCAGGTCTAAGCAGTAACCTGGCAAACCCAAAAGAAGGAAACATTTTAAGATTCATGTCACTCCGGCACCCTAATGACTAGATTGAACATCTTGAGACTGTAACAAGCAGCAGTGATAAAATGTTTCGACAATATCAAGTGCCTAGGAATATTTAGTATGAATCATACCAGTGAGCCACTGTGGGAGGGAAGATCTTTTTTCCTCTGGGATTTCCTCTAATAGGTTGGAAGCTTTTAAGGAGTTTCCCTTAGCCAGCCAATATAAATTCAGCTTAAACCAGTGTTCTCTTGAAATGTGAAATTTCTGCAGAATGTCTTCCGATTGCATTCTTAGCTCCTTCTACCAGTGACTACATGTGTCTATATGTGGGGCACACAGCCCCCTTGAGCATATGGCCCCTTTATGAACCATGCTCAAAATTTATATACTTGGAAGGAACCTATCCATCTCTTCACTCTAGCCATGCATCCAGTAGTGACTAAATGACTGTTAGTTTCCTGGTTCTATGTGAAGCTCTGCAAAGAGTGCATGTCTCTACCTCCCCATGAGCTCTCCTCAGTGGTTGTGTATCTCATGGTGATTTTGTTATTGGCATGGTTCTTTGTGAGTAAGAAATCCTTGAATTCTCCTGTTCTTGTGCTGTTGCCTCCTCTTGTAGTACTCACACTCTAGTGTTCATCTGGCCTCTCTCCCACATCCTATCTTGTCAACTGCTGCTTTCATTTCTTTTTCTTTTCCTAAGTTCCGACTGGGCTGTGGCTGCTTCTAGAAACGGGATTACACGGTGGGATTCATACCAAAGAAGCCCAGCACACTTCCAGGTGTATCTTTTGTACTTTGGCTGTATTGCTCAGCCAGACTACAGGAAAGTGAAAAAGATCTTCCATTCTCATTTCCAACCACAGAAGTCTTTTGGCTAGTGTCTGTGTTTACTTTGCATTTCAGTGCAGCGTACAATACCAAAACCAAATTCACAGCCATGAGATCAATGCGACTCATACTGACCTTTGCAGGACAGGCTAGAACTGAACCCTATGAATTTCCAAGACGGTAACTCTTTACAGGAGTAGAAAGTCCTGTCTTGATTTCACAGAGCAATGTGTAACCACCATACACTGCCAGGGCTCCTGCAGAGTACAATAGCTATCTGTTTTTTGTTTTTTGTATGCACACTATGTATACACTGTGTATATGCCAGGCATTCTATGTTTGCTATCTATATGCTCCTCCTATCAACTTTGTTTGTTAGATAACACTATTGTCCTCATTTTCATGGGACTGCAATTGAGGCATAGAGGTTGTTCAGGGTCCCTGGTTGTATTGTTTTTGCTCTATCTGTTCTACCACAATGCCTTTCAGACCCAGGTCTGGAAGCTCAGAGACCAAGTTCAAACCCTGGAGTATTTAGATGTGAAGTAGCTTTAGAATTTGAATCTTTCTTACTTTACCCCTCTCTTTGGTTAGCATCTTCAAAGCCATGGGATCAGTCCTGCCAGATGAGGACCAGGATAAGCTGTTGCGCATCTGTTCCATTTATACCCAGAATGGAGAAAACAGCCTGGTGCAGGAGGGCTCAGAATCCCCTACTATTGAGAAGTCTCCACATACATTTAACACCTTATATTGGAACCTCAACTCATCTGGCGCCAACTTTGGGTCTGAAGGAAAGGCCCAGGAGCAGGAAATCCTTAAGGAGGACAGGGAAGATGAGAAGGATGAGAAAGAGATCATGGATGATCAAGTAGAAGACGAAGATGACTGTGATAGCCAAGATGAGGAGCAAGATGAAGAAGAAGATTGGATGGAAGTGGACCCTTTCTCTACAGGGAAGGAGTCCCCCACTGTTGAGAATGCCAGGCTACTGGTCCAGAAAAGGGGAGCCTTGCAGGGCTCTGTGTGGCAAGTTAGCTCAGGTAAGAAACTCATATCCACTTCCTTCCAGCATTAGTCTTTTTCCTCTGGTTGTGAGGCTTTCTTCCACTTTAGGGAAGAAGTGGAAATTAGCAGGAGGTAGCCAACCTGAGCCAAATCTTCAGAGACAGCTTGCTTGGTGTATGGATGGCAGCTGCTCCTAAAAGCTAGGCACTATATTGGCTACCGTGTAGGGTATAAGTGTCAGAGGCCTAAGCACTATTGTGTTACCAGCTACTTCAGACCTTAATACTCTCTTCATTGACGCACATGCCCAACTGCCTAAAATGTGCTGCATCAGCTACCAGGGGCACATACATCTTATCTTCCAGTTTCTAGGCCTACCAAGTCATAAACATGCTTTGCAAGTTTGGAAAAGGCCATGCTATCTCATTCCCAGAAACCCTAGCTTGAATGAGATCTCACCAGAGTATCCATAGAGCACTCTAGATATTCGTGAGCTTAACAGTAAGAGGAGTGTTGGGCACATGGACTTCAAAGGTAAGTCACTATGTTAGCAAAGTATAACATCTGAGTAGGGTAGATTCTGTGTACATGGATCAGCAAGCGATGTGTGTATAGGGGAGCAGGGCATGGGATAGAAATGAGACAGGGAATGTGAAGAGGTTGCAACCAAACCCATCTTTAGAAGAGTTCTGTATATGGAGTTATGTATATATGTGGCAGGAGGGGGAGGGAACATTGAAGGTGGAGTGTGAGGATCAATGTTACTGTCTTATTGAGGCTGATTATAGGAGTAGGAAAAGGCAGTTGGATAATTGTAAATAGGAGAAGTTGTTTGTGATGAGCTACAGAGCTCTGCATATCCACATGGGAAATGGCATACACATCCCATGAGACCAGCAAGAACCCATCAGGATTTTAGCAGAGCCCCCACTGCAGGAGAACTAGATATATGCATATGCGCATGTGTGTTAAACACCAGGAGCCCCAAGGTAAAGGGGCTTAGAAATCTGCATAGCCCTAGTTGTGAGGCATATGCATGTGAAAAGTTTGGACAGGTAGAGGTGGTAAGACATGCCTGGGACATGTATACAAGTCAGTAGTTAGGTGCAAAGATAAGTGGAGTTATTTGAGTTCACGAGCAGGAGATCAGCTACAGCTTTCCTAATGGGACCCAGGCCTTGCGTTTCTGTATGCCTTCTACACAGATGGGAGGACAGAGCGTGTCCTGTGTGTGTTCAGGCGGTGTGCATGCATGCATACAGGTAGTGTGTTGGAGAGTGCTAAAACCCGAGGGAGATGCAGGTTATTGAGAGGGAAAAGTGAGTCATCAGGACTCATTGCAAGTAAACCCAAACTCTTGGGGAGTTCATCCTCAAGCGGAACGTTAATATGGGGTCTACACATGGTTGGAGCACGGATAATCTGAGAGTATTGAGAAATAAGAACCACAGGATGGCAGAGGCAGTGAGATACTAAGGGTAGCCTGTAAATCTGTCTGGATTAACATTCAGGCTGGCATGGACACAAGCACAGGGCCAGACAGGCAAGGGGATGGGCCCCTGTGGGTCTTGAGAGGCTGCAGTGGTGGAACCCTGTATCATAAGATAACAGAATGCATCAGCCAGTGCGGATATGAGACATGGTGGCAAGGGAGTGGGTTCGGTAGTCATTGAAGTGCTGGAGGTTGAGATTGTAAGAAGTGGTGAGACTTAGAGAGGTGGACCCAAGAGAAGTGAGTTTCAGAGTGTTGGATATGAATATGAGAGAAGCTAGAGTGTCCTTGGTACCAGAAGAAAAGAGTTTGCTTGTATATGTGTGTTGGGAGGGGGTGGGAGATGTTGGAGACAGGCAGTGGGCACATTTAAAGAAGAGGGTGTGGGCACTGGGCAATAAAACATAGGTGGGAGAAAAGTATGGGAGCTGAGGAGGTATGTATGTTAAGATTATGCACATGATTTTGGTTACAGGGACATCAAGACAAAGGGAATATTTTCTATGAAATGTGTGTACATGCACACATGGAGGCTAGGTGGTGAGAAAGGATTACGTAATGAGTTACAAATGACATTACTAACCACAAGATTAGTACTTGTTCTGTAAGAGAAACATGAAGCTGTCTTCTCCCATAAATATTTAAAGTCTTTGAAATCCCAGGGTGTTTGGGTTCTACTATATCTATCTACTATGTCCTATACCATGAGGCTGTCTACTCCCCAAAATGCTTGGGTTCTATTCGATCATATACTAAAACCAAACTCACTACCATCAAATCTATCAGCTCATAGTGACCCAAAAGGACAGGGTAGAACTGCCCTTGTGAGTTTCTCAGACTTTTTACAAGTGTAGAAAACCCCATCTTTCTCCCTCAAAGCAGCTGGTGGTTTCAAACTGCTGACCTTGTGGACCATAACCCAGTGCGTCACCACTATGCCACTCACTGGCAGTGGATTTTTGGGTTTATTAGCAGGAACCTTGGGGCATTAAATCAGAGAAACCAGAAGTGAGAGGAAAAGCATGAGAATTAGGAGTGATGTGACTCACTTTTGAGGTGAAGCAAGTTAGACTAAAGCTGGAGGGTGGAAATCATAGTTGGTGATAGGAAAGTAGGGGAACATTGTGAGTCTGTTCCTATTAAGGATGTCCAGATGGTCTTTTGAGTGCCCTCATTTAGATTAGGGAGTAGAAACAAGGTAGAGACATACAGAAGACATGAAAAAATATTATGTGTGCATTAGCATGTATGTATGTATGTATAGACATTGGAGTCAGGTAGATTCTTACATGATGACAGCCTGCTCTGAGAAAAGGGTCAAAAGAGCAATACAGAATAGAGCTGGGTCTGGGTGGTATAGGATGGGGTATGATAAGGGGAGCAAGAAGGGAAAAGAGAGAAAGAAGTGATTCAACACAGAAGGAAAGGTAGAGCCTTTTCACTTTACAAGGGTACTTCAACAAGTTCATGAAAAAATTCCATTATCTTTCAATTCCGTGTATCTATGAACTTTTTTAAGTGTCCCCC